GTGTATTTTAAATTACCTAACATAGAAATAATATTTTAGATTTTCTTCAAATATTTTTGTATTTCACTTATAAATTTATTTTACAGGGAATCATATTAAACAAATTTTAAAAGTAAACATTCCGATACAATTTTTACATTAACAGAAAATGATTAACTTAACAAAATATTAAAAGAAATATACACAAATACTTACTAAAAAAACATCAAAAAACTTAACATAATTGTCACTTCCTAAAAAAATAAATTTGGAAAATTTATTTTAAAGAGATGAGTTTAAAATGTCACTACTAATCAATCACATTCATTTTATTACTGCTTATTCACATATTTTATTCATTTTTCTTTCATAAAAAATTATTATGAAAATATAAAATTCAGACACTTGATCATGAGAAATTATGAAATGCCATTGATTCCGTAAAGTTTAAATTTTTGTCAAAAACAAAATTCTAACTTATCATTCCAATTTCTTTATTTTTCTCAAAAATTAAATAAACAAGAAGTTTTTTTAAAAACAAATTTGGAGCTATTTAACAGAAAATGTCTGTTTTAAAGTAGATTTGAGGATACCTGTCTTTGCAAAGACTAATTAAATTACATTTTGTTGCAGCAGATTTTAACTAATTTGTGAAAAATATTTTGAATTAGATTTGGCAAATCAATTTTCTCATTTTTACACACAAGAAAACTAGTATGTTAAAAAAATTTTTTTTAAAGTTTTTTTGAATTTTTCTACATTTTTGTTTTTATTTTATTGCACAATTTGGAGCAATTCTTTGCAAAAACTTTTTTATAGATAAAAAATTATTTAAAGAATTTATTATTAGATATTATTATTAAGAATGTATTTTTTATAGCAAAAAAAAATGAAAAGTGCTATATTAAATATTAAAACAACTTTTTAAATTATTTATAATTGCAATCTAGTACAAATGGTACACAGGGACAAATAATAGAACTTTTCTTCCTCCATGCTATGAACATGGGTGCCAGTTTAAAAGAATTTTAAGACCTAAAGTCCAGCATTGTTTACCAGAATTTTTTGAAATTTATAGCTCATCAACTTCAAAATGTAATTTTTCATGATAATGGCTCCTATATCATAATCAACTAGAAATGTATTATTTTATCAAAAAAAAAATTTCACATTTATTTTCTTATAGCAAAAAAAAAAAAAAAAAGATTAATTAAATAAAACCTAATGGAAAAGAGATCAATTGATTAAATTTAGTCTACTGATTTTTCAGTCTCCAGGACTTAAGAGTGGCACCCATGGCTATGAAAGATCATATAAAAGCTATTTCTTAATTATTAAATAACTATTAATAATATTCATTAGGAAAAACGCTCTATTGAATACGGTTACCAAATTTTAAAGTTGTAAATATTTGTAAAACTTTTTTACCAGATTCAATACATTAGAATTTTTCAACCAAATTTATTATCACATTCAACAATAAATATTAGTCATGTGATGAGTATATTGTGTTCTATTGTAAGAAAAACCAATGTAATTATACTCATTATTTTAACAGAAAAAATTATTTAAAAAAAAAAGATCTTATCTTAATAGGATAGAATTAAATTTTAAATTTAATAGAATTAATTTGTGCTAGTTTATGTTATCTGGTAAAAAAAAAAAATTCGGACATTCTTATGATTTGTTTGAATTATTATAGAAGAATAATTAGTTTTAAATTTGGCAAAATTTGTGTTCGTTTTGGTTGAAAAAATCTTTTGTTTGAGCTGGTATTTTTCTCAGGTAATAAATATCAAAAGGAAAAACATCCTGTTCCTTCCTGTTCATTCAATTTAATTAACTTGTAATTTGATAACTTATATTTCTTGCAATTTAATAACGAATCAAAACTATATATTTTAAATTTAATTTTGATTGGTGCTTAGTGGAAAAACTTAAACAAATCTTGATATCTCGGAAACACACAATTTTCTATGTTAAAGCACATGCTAAGTTTTCTATCAAGCATTTTAATAAGATGAGTTTCAACAGATAAACATGTTTTGTAAATAGCTTGGTTCAACATACTTGATAACTAATTTTTCTCAAATTAAATGAACTTGCTCTACAATTTATCGTCAAATATCTAAACAATGTTTAGGGATACAAAAAAAAAATCTATGTTTGAACAAAAAAGAAAAAAAATATTCTATGTTATTTCAGGTACTCAATAAGATTTATTTTTGAACAAACAAAATATGTTATTTTCAGGGACACAAAACATCTGAAAAACAAATTATACCCAGATCTTTTGCTCAGTTAATGAATCTGATAATACAAAATAAAGAAATATTCTTTCCAAATTCGGAATGATAATATGTCTTTGACATGTTACACATTTTCTTTAAATGAAAGTTAATTTAACAATCAATAAAAAATTATTAGAAATATTTCATAAATTACAGAATTTGAAATCTTGAAAATATGTAGCAAAAAATACATTGGATTTCAGATAAATTACAAATTTATAAAAAGTTTAAATGAATTGTACTCCATTTTTATTCAGGAAGTATATATTTGGCAAAAAACAGTTATTATAATATCATAATACAGTAATTAAGTAAATTAATTTTACTATTGAAAAACTATTAAAATATTTTTGAAGGCACTTCACTTAAATATACAGTTTGCCCATCAAAATATGCCACACAATTTGTACACCTAATCTTATATTAACTTTAAAAGGAAACTTATGTATACATTAAATTTTATACAGTCTTTGGAATACAATATTTAAAAACAAATTACTTTTTCAAAGGGGAATAATATTGTACCAGAATATGAAAGTCAAATGATACAAAATAAACAAAAAGGTTAAATTTTGAGATAAAATAGAGATGCCAAAAAATACGGAAACACTTCAAGAGTTCTTTTTTCTTTTTGTAGTGGAGATGAAATTCTGTAAATGCAATGAAATATTTGATACTCACTACAACTCTCTAAGCAATAAAATAAGTACTACTGTAGTTATGTAAACAATTAAAGCTTATTGATATTCAGTAAACTTACTTTCCATTAAAAAAGCAATTAGCTCATACCAGGGATGTGGAGTTAAAAGATAATTTTGCAGAAGTTAAAATCAGAAACATTTTAAGTTAACTCTCATAAATTTAAAAGTTAAGGGTAAGGCCGTACAAAGAAAAGAAGTTTTTGACAATATTAGACAAATATATATATATATATATAAAATTACAAATCAGGGTGCGTAGCCAGATTTTTCATCAAAAAATAAGCACCCCAGTACTTTTTTAAGCACCAAAAAAATATTTTTAATCACTTTCCAAAAAAAAAAAAATTATAATTAGGATCTGTGCAATAATAAAAATTATTTGTTTCTGTCGTTTAAAGTTCCTAATTTATGAACATAAAATCAATAAAATTCAAAAACATTTTCACTAACTTCACATAATCATGATGAAATAACTAGTTTCTGAGAAATATTGCAGAGAAAATTGGGCAACAATCGGCACGGCAAAGAAAAAATCTCTTTGAAAAGATAGAAAATTAAGCACTTTTTACAAACCCCAAATAAAAAAAGCACTATAAAGGGTTTTTAAAAAATGTAAGTAAAAAAATAAGAACCTTTAAGTACTTTTTAAAAATGCTACACACCCTGCAAATGTATGAACAAAAATTCTCCTCAAACGAATATTATGACAATTATTTGTATTATAAATTATCTCTAAATCAATTTATTAAATTATTTATAAAATTAAAGTAACGAAAATGTGAGAATATAATTTTATTACAAATACTTTAATTCTAATCACTCAATAAAGAAAAGAATTTCTTTGAGATAGATTCTTGTCCCAATTCTGAATCCTTGTGATGCACCCAACCTCCCCTTAAAAATTATCCCAATAATCATGGGACACCTTGTATAGTTTAAAATTAACTTAGTACTAATTTAGATTATTTTCTGGGTATTTTAAGTAGCACAAGTCCCAGTCAAACTCTGAGAAAAGTTTGGAGTTGATCATTTCAACTATCCGCTCCACAGCTTTGCATCATAAATATAAAAAAAAGAAAAATAATAAAAAAATTTAATCAAAACTTTTTTTTCTTTTTAAATGAGGCAAATAAAGATTGAAAATTAGGAAAAAACTGGATCAGTCAGCATCTCCAAAAGAATTACTAACAAAAATTTTGATTCTTTAAAATTCTATTTTGTTTTAATAGAAGCAAAACAACTTTTTTTTTTTGTTTAAAGTAATTTAATTTCTAAAAATTTAAATGCTTTAAATCATTTTTAAATATGTGAACATCATAAATTCTAGATTTTTTATTATAAGATAAAATAAATGAATTAGAATTTTAATGCCTTTGTAAATGTTTTAAAAATAAAAGCATCCAAGATATTTCTTAGAGTTACAATATTTAAAATTTTTTACCAACACATAAAAAATATAAAATGAAAATCAATATAAAAATTTTAATGCCTAGCAAATTATTATAAATAAAAGCATTAAAACTTGTTTTAGATTCTCTAAAATATTTACATTTTTAAATATATATTCTAAAATTTTAATAATTGATAATAATTTTAAAATTTTTAATGCCTTATAAACTTAAAGCATAGAAGATAATTTTTAAATCTAAAATATTTTTTAATGTCATTTAAACAATTTGTATGAAATTATATATAATGTAATTGCTATTTCGCATTGAAATCATTTTAAATGAGAAAACACTTAAGATTTTAAAGTTTGTTTACTTATGACTTTCATTCATTCTGACATTTAAACGAAACAACAAACTGAGATCTTTTTACATCAAATGAAAAAAATGGGATTGAATATAATAAATAACAGATTTTTACTATACAGCAACAATAAAAAATTGAAGAAAAAAAATTCAATAACAATTTTTTTTAAATAAAATAATTGCTTTACAGGCTCAATTTTTAAAATTCCAGTAACTTCATTTTTTTTTTTTTAAATAATAACTTTAAATTATTTGACTAAATTTTTTAGATGAACATCAGTGTAATGAATTATTATTAAAATTATAAAATTCAAATATTGCTTCAATATTTTATAATAAATCTTTGGTCCATTATTCTTCAGCAAAATCACTAAAAGCTTTATAGAAAATTAAACAAAAGAGGTTAAAAGTTGAATATATTAGGCAGTATAAGTGTTTTATAAGTCATCCAATGTATGAGAATTTTATTTTTACTAAATAAAACTCTTGAATTAAAAATACTGATACATTCAACTTACAACTAGAAACAAATTTTAATACTAAAGGCGAATCACACTATATTAAAATTCCCTTCATTAATTTACTGCATGGTATATATTACAACAAATTTCACTCAATTTTTTTGATCCTGGCATTTTGATCAAATTTCTATAAAATGAATTTTGCCTTAACCAGACCAGTTTTAAAACATTAAAAATGTACTATTTTAGCTGCCAAGAAACTTTTTGTGGACAATTCTTTTTTTAGAGCATAAAATCAACAGTTGAAAGATACAGCTAAAACTTGAACAGAAAAAAAAAATAATAATAAAAAAATCTAATACAAAAATATGTACAATGGTGTTCGTCCAAAAATGTGAATGTCTTTTATTCTGAGCAGTTAAAAGCGTGGCTGCTCGATGCTTGTGATGAGGAATGAAAAAATTTGTATTTTTTTTAATATTTTTTTTTACAATTAAAAACATATAGATGCTGCTTCTAAACATGTAAAAATAAGTCACTATGTTGATAACAAGTGATTTAAATAATCACTTTCAGAAGTCATTGAGATTGATGATTATTTACAAGGCAATGAACCGTTTCAAAGAGAGGCACTCGAAGTGATGTTCGACAATGATTATTTTTGTGGACGAAATTAAATGTCTTTGATGAGTCGATAGATATGATGCTGGGCTCCATGCTCACTCGTTGAAACTTCAAAAACATATGCTATACACAACAGTGTCTCTTGAGTATCTCTGTTTGTCACTACCTGTATAATAGAAATGGCAAAAATTACAATATTACATAGAAGACAAATGCTGCTGAGCATATGATTTTGATAAAGTAATTTCATATATAAACATTTCAGGATTAGCTTAATCAACAACAATCAAGTAAATCAACTATTGTAATTTTAATTATTGGGAATCAGTTCGGTCCGTTTTCAGAAGATGGCTCTGGCTGTTATGATCACGCCCGGGTCACCAATGTGGGGGCGGAGTTATCGACAATGCCAACCTTCATCTATCAAAAGGTACCTCGTGATTGAATCAAGTTAGCATGTCTTATATACCAGTGAATTGATGTTTAAATTTCGTAGTGGTAGTTACGCCACAATACTCCCCCACCAGAATTTTATCAGGGATAGAAATTAATGAACAGATCTCACTAGTTGCTGTACTTATGAAAGACCGAAAGAGAGAGTCACCGCTTTCTTTTTTTTAGTGCTGAAAGTGAGAGGTGTATTAACTTCACGGTTGTGTTCGTTTCTCTGTTGTCTTTAGCAGTCGAGTGTATACATTGTACGGTGTGTATGATTGAAACTGAGCAGCAACAGCGTAAGGAGATTGATTATGTCGCAGTCACAAGTAGCAAGTCAACTGTTCAATGTGGATCATCCAACGAAGTTGGCGTTACCAGATTGAAGTGAACGTTACTGCATGTTCAAATCACGTCCGGATGCCAACCTTTATCTATCAAAAGGTACCTTGTGATTGAATCAAGTTAGCATGTCTTATACCAGTGAATTGATGTTTAATTTTCATAGTGGTAGTTACGCCACAAATGTTTCATAGTGACAGCTGGTTTTGGTGGTTTTAGAGAGGTTAGACATCTGTTAATAATATTCAGTTTATATCGGTTTGAGTTTCATATAAAAACCCTGTTTTTTACTTTGTTGAGTATGTCAAGTTTTGTGGTAACGAAGCACCATTTGCGGGAGGTTTTATGTTTCTGCTTTAATTGCAAGAAAAGTGCAGCTGAAGTGCATCAAATACTTGTAGAAGTTTATGGTGACAATGCTCCAACTGATAAATCATGTAGGGAATGATTTCGAAGTTTCAAGAATGGTGAATGGTGTTGTACACTATGGGCTGCTACAACTTGGCGATTCAATTACAGACGGTCGTTATAGGCTACAATTGATTCATTTGAGCTGTGCAGTACAAGAAAAACGGCCGGAATATGAGCAAAAACATGACAAAGTTATTCTTCTGCATGATAATGCTCCGCCTCATATCGCAAAAAATTATTTGGAAACGCTCGAGTGGGATATTTTACCGGGCCCGTCGTATTCGCTGGACATAGCTTCTTCTGATTACTGGTTGATCCGACGGATGCAGCACAATTTGGCAGGTCACCAGTTCATTTCGTTTGCAGAAAATGAAAATTGGCTACTAATTTGGATCGCCACAAAAGAAGAGACATTTTTTCGAGACGGAATTCGAAAATTGCCTAAGAAGTGGGAAAAAGTAGTAGCCAGCGATGGACATTACTTTGATTAATCTGTGCATTCATTTTGTAGGGAAATAAATGCATTTTTGACCACACAAAAAAATTTTAAAAACAAACCGAACTAATTTGTACTCCCAATACAAATAAAATTTGTGAACTTCCTAAACTAGCTATCAGTAATAAAAAGAACAACAATAAGATAAAAAATTTATTCATTTGGCTATTCATCAAAAACTATTTCCATAAGTGTATATAGTCACAGTATTTTATTCCACTGCAACTTTTGTTTTTATTCATACTTTTTTATCATTATTCCAATAAAGTAGAAAAAATAAACTAATTTAAATATTAATATTCTCACCTGTAAAATTGTAAAGTTTTCTAACACACTATTCATCATATATTTTTCTGGCAAATGTTTTAACTTGTGGATGAAGTTTATCATATATTCACACATGGGAGATCGATGAATCCTGTACACAAACCTTCCATTTTCAAATCTTGCATACTCCGTCTGGACAAAAAATAAAAGATGTTAACTCTTAAAAATATTCTTTTTAATGAAAGTTAAAAAACTAAAAATAACTAGAAACTATTCAAGCAACAATGTAAACCTAGAACATTTTGTGATCACCAAACATAAAATAGTATAATCGACTACAAGAATGTTATTTAAGAATAAAGAACATAAATAAAATGCGTTATAAACCCTCATTTTCAGAAAAATAGATATGTATTTTAATCCATTTGTTAAGCAACAAAATACAGCATATCTTAATGCAAACAAGGCTTTACAATAAAAACAAGGCTTTGTGTCTTACAGAATTTTTTGTTGTATAAATCATTGCACATATCTTATCTACTCAACATGGTAATATTAGTCAGAAACAAATCAATCTTAATTTGTTCCTAAATAATTTCTAGATACAAGAACTTAAAAACACAAACACTTGCACCTAAGTATTTATAATCTATATATTAAAAAAAAAAAATTGAAATTTTTAGAGCATTAGAATTAATAACAAATAAATTTATCAATTTTGGTTTGCTTAGATTTTAAAATTGTAACCTCTTAGAAGATAAAATAATAAATAATATAAAGTTTCTTTATTAGTTACAGAAGTTTTTTAACTTCATTCATTGTACACACCCTCAAAGTTAATAGGGTTTAAGGAAATGCGTCGAATAGATCTCCTGTTATAGTAAGGATAAACACAATATTATTGATCGAATATTTTACTCAATTAAGGATCTATTTTTATGAAGATAGCTTCTTGAAATTGATTTTGTATCATGAGCGAGGTATCAATGTCTATGTAAAGAAGCAAAAGAACAGCAAAAAGTTTGTATTTTGTTATGCCACAGTATGCTTGTGTTTGTAATAATTCTTTTTTATTACCTCATAATTACAAATATTACAAGCAACCAGCAATGGCAAAGCTTATTCCATGGTGGAAAAAAACCGACTAAAAGAAATATGTTTCTTAGCAACCCAAGTGGAAGAAACTCCTTTTCAAAAATAAATATCCAACATTAAAGAAATGTTTTAATCAGTTTACAATAGTAATCTAGTTTAAAATATTAATTTTCAAACATTAATTAAAATTATAACAGGGGTAGCAGCAAAGTTTTTTAAAAATTTAGGGTAATTTTAGGAACTTTTTTAAAAAAATTTTAGGTAAATTTTAAGGGTAATATATGATTTTGCTAGGATAAAAAAAGGTCACACGGTAGTTTATTACATAACAGAAGATTATTACAATTCATCCACACATATCATAAATAATTGCAAGCCATAAAATAAAGCTCTGAAATTTATTAAGTCAAGAATGAAATCTCTAAAGTGTAAAAATGAAATTTCAACTTTACATATTACCTATCAGAAATTAAGTGCATAATTCGAACAGGCAAAAGTGAGAATAAATCAAGAGAAAAAATAAATTAACACCAACTTGGATTTTTATTTAATTTTTACCTTCTTAATCAAAACTTTATTGTTACCCTTTACCTTACTTTATTAAGAAAAACTATTGTGTGATATTATTAGATTTCAAATCAGCGATTTATATTAGAAGTTAGAGAAAAACAAATTAATCATGATCATTTTTCCAAAATATTCTTGATATGATTTGTGAGATTCTTTTACTGCCCTCAATAGTGTTGTGGTGATCTTCAACACTCCTCCATAATTTCGAATGGTATCTTTGATTAGTCTAAGAGACATAATAATATTCTCATGGTGACTCACATTAAGCATTGCTTTATTTATCGAAAAACCTCTCTCAGGATCAGAATTCCCATGTGGCAAAATTAAAACAGTTTTAATTAATGTAGTTAAATTCTTATATTTTAGATTATTGCTTTTTTATTTATATTTAGCCTATAACTCTAATTTTTTAGGAACACCAACAAAATTTTATCAGATTTTTAGGAATTTTAGGGTTTGCACATACTTTTAGGAATTTTATGAATTTTAGGGGGAATGCGACCCCTGTTATAATTAATTTTCATTAATTAAAAATGATACATTAATTTATTAAATATCTAATTTTCAGTGAAAATTAAAAAGCAACAATTTCAAAGAAAAATAAATTGAGTGAATTTCTCAAGAAATTAAAATATGCATAAATAGCAAAACAAAACTGCATAAGACGAAAATAAACTATTGGAAAATAGTATTTTTTTAAAAATTTGATGCTAAAAACCGTTAGTTTCCAGGTATTATATTAAATTTAAGCTTTTCTTATAATCATTAATGTTATATAATATATTGGTCATTTTAAGTTTCTTCAATTTTGTTGCTTTTTCAATTTCCTGGACGAATTAGGTTTCTTATGGAAAAAAAATTCAAACTCTCCAAGCAACAAACACAAGAAAACTTGAAATGCTATTTTAAAGAATAATTACTTCAACTTTCTCCACTACATTTTTCCCAAATGAGCAAACTTTAGTACTGCAGGTGATAGTCATGTTATCATTACTTTCATACCTAGAAGAAGAATTAGTGTTTTTAAGAAAACAATTTCATAAAATCATCTTACTATCAACTAAAAAATCTGATATTAGAAAAAAATAGTAAATATTTACTAAAAGATGTTTTTTGCATGGAATTATCTTTTGATAAAGTAATTTTATAATTGTGTGCAAAATTTTTTGAATTTGCTTAAAAAGTTTGTGAGATATAACAAAATATGCAAAAAGTAAAATTAACATTAAGAGGTCCAAACTTTGCGGCTACCCCTATATTACAAATCCGTCGAAAAAAGGTACGCTTATTCAGATAAAGTACGCTTTTTGTGACTGCTTTTGTAACCTAAAATATCGACTGCCTTTATTAATTAGCAAATTTCTTAGATCAATTCCTTGATCTATTAAGATTGAGTTCAGAACGTGAAGATCCGATCATTAGATCAAAAGCTATTCGTGGTGGTCCAGTTTTTTTTGGCGCACTGTACATGTAAAATTTGACCTAGTCAAAAGTTTTAAAAATAATAAGCATTATATGTCTCAATTAAAGGAGAAATTTTGCTTTCAGGTATTTATATAACTTATAAGTCACTAAAAAGACTTGTCCGCTTCTGAAAGAGGAGGCAGGGAAGCCCTAGAGGGCTTAGCGACACCACGAGTCATCGTCGGACACAGACGACACCCACGAGGAGCGTGCCGGCTACCTTCCGATCGTCTGACCTTCAGGCCATCTCCCAACCGGTTGCAGCGTCTTTCGAAATATCAAATTACCTGTCCATTAACAGGTAAATTTTCTGTTTATTCAATGGGAGGAGCTGTTAATTCAGTTACTGCTTGTTAATAGAGCTTCCAAAACCTTAAAACAATACTTTAAAAAATTCCTCTTTTTTATATCTTTTGTATTTTATGACAAATATCTTGATACTGTCATCCACCAAAATAACAGATTTTAAAAAAAGTAAGAAAACAAGCTATGATCGATATTTAATTCACTGGTCGATTTACTCATCTATTTTTATATAATGTAACTACAGTGCAGAACCCGTTATCCTGAAATCAGAAAACCGGAAAACCAAAAAACCGGAACGAAATTCGATAAATTTTCCCGCTATTTAAAAAAAATTTTTTTTTTTTTCCTCATAAGATTTTAGGTATTTTCTTCTTTTTTGAAAGATTTTTACCTTACCATCATTTTGGAAATAATCATTAGTGTATTACTTCATCTTTTTTTCTTCTTTTTAAGATTATTTCCAAATTTTTTTGTTGTTGTTGGGTTTAACAATACAAAAACGGCTTTTTGTAGCGATTCAGAAAACCGGAAAAATCAGTTATCCGGAACATCGATGGTCCTGATCGTTCCGGATAATCGGTTCCCTACTGTATTACTCAAAACTACATTATACATATTCTTCACTCCGAATAAGAGCATAAGGCATCTTTTCTAGCTCTCTCTCTTTATATGTGGCTAGATATGTTGCCTCTTTCCATGTCTTGCCTACTGTTTTCAATTCCTTTATAATCGCCCTTCACCAAGTATTTTTAGATCTAACTCTTTCCCTATTTCCCTGATGGTTCCAATCAAAACATTGTTTTACTTTAAATTTCTCAGGTTTATGTAAAGCATGAACAATCCATTTCCATTTAAGACTTTAATCTCCAGTATGGTTTCGGTTTTGCCTTTCTACGTATTTCTGCACTACAAATTTTTATGAACTGGTAAGATTCTTTTTAAACTGTTGTTAATGAATAAGTTTTTTACATTATTTTTATTGCAGCGCCACATGTCTAACACATACAGTAGGACAAATTTAGCATTAGTATTGAAAAATTTTAATTTTTTGAATCAGTTACACTTTTTGCTTTTTTAGAATTTATTGAGAATAATGCAACTGCTTTGGACTTTGTATCTATTAAGTACCATCTCCATCAGTTCCTCCGCTATTGTTACTTATATTTTCAAGATAGGTAAAACTATTTACTTCTTCCAGTTAAGTTATTTTTAAAGAATATGTCATTTAATTGTTTTGGATTCCTTTTTATAACTGTAGTTTCATTCTGATTAAGAATAAACTCCACTTTTTTTTCATTTAAAATGTTTGCCTGCATGTCTTGAAGGGTGTGGGTCAGCATGAATAAGTTGTCTGCAAAATCAAGGTCAGAAAGATAAACAGCAAGGGTCCATCTTATATTCTCTGATACTCTCTTCATAATCCAGTCAACAGCAATCAAGAAGATTGTAGGAAAAAGTGTACAACTCTACCTAACACCGGAATCAACCTTGAAGAATTCTGATTTTTGGCCGGCTTGAATTACTCATATATGATTATTTTTATACATAGTTTTGATAATGTTTACAAAACATACAAGAATTCTATAGTACAGTAGGGAACCGATTTTTCCGGTTTTCTGAATCGCTACAAAAACCTGTTTTTTTATTGTCAAACCCAACTAAAAAAAAAATAATAATATTTAGAAATAATCTTAAAAAGAAAAAACGATAAAGTAATACACTAATGATTATTTCTGAAATGATGGTAAGGTAAACATCTTTCAAAAAAGAAAGAAAAATCCTAAAATCTTATGAGGAAAAAAACTTTTCTTTAAAAAAATGGCGGGAAAAATTATTAAACTTTTTTTCCGGTTTTCTGATTTCCGGATAAGAGGTTCTCTGTACTATAGTCTGTTTAAGCTAAGAACTCCTCCCGCCACAAAGTCTGCGACTGCCTGGTGCTATGGAAACAAGAATGGTGCATTTTAGAGAGGGTAGCTTCACTCTAGGACTAACACAATAGATCGAAGAAAAAGATTCCCCTTCTCCTGCTGACCCGAGTCGAAACCACTCCAAAACAGTGACCCCGCACCCCTACTTGAAATAGTCATACCTCGTTACCATAGTCACCGCCACAGGTCCAGATGAATGTCTGGAGGAGTTCTTATTTTAGACAAACAATACAACAGCTTCCAGCATTGTACTTTAACTATATTATGCAAAAACTATTTTTACTCTAACTGCTACTTTCATGCATATTTAATTATTATTCAGAACTAATATTATGCAAAAACCATTCTCACACAAATCCTTAAATCTAAATTAAATATTGCCAAAGATAGTTTAATTTTGATGAACAAAAATTTCTTAAAATTTGAAAGAAAAAAAAAGTTAAAATTTGAAAAGTAATACATAATTTTTTTAAAAGGAATACACAACTATAAAACATTTGATGTACACAAATTACAACTTTAAAACTTTTAGTAAAACAATATTAAATTGGTAAATGAAAACTTACTGGCTACTGACTCCATAAAAAGCACCTGCTTCATCTTCAATATTTGTATTAAGGTCTGCCCAAAATTTAATTAAGAAGAAAGCATTTTGTGGACCTTTGTCATAAAGCTCTTTCAGACCACCTTTCTTCTCAGGAAATTTATCATAGATTTCCCGAATGGCAACAGCCTAGGAAAAAATAGATTAAACCAACTTTAGTTTCAAATATTGCTTATACAAAATAGCTCACAATATGAAAAACAACTTAAAATCTCAAGGGGTAAAATTATAATATTTGTGAGCACAAGACAGATCAAGAAAAATAAATGAACAGAAAATTTTTAAGTACCATCGGAAAAGGGGCCATCTCTGCTGAATTAGACCTATCCAAATATTTTTGAGAGAAGTAAATTCAAACCCCTTAAGGAAAAAAAAGTTTTTATGCTGAATTTACATAAATAATAGTATCATTTGTTATGTCGTTTATATTCATCTGCTGCTACATTTATAAGTTATTAAAATAAGGACATTAAAAAAAAAATTCTTGAGATTTGACTTGTCCTCAAATTTTAAAAGCTTTCTGTGATCCTGGTAAAAGATGTGAAGGGCTTGGAGGAATAACTGAAAAACTATAATAATTGGTATTCTTGGTAAATTCAAATATTATAATCAACTCTTATCTATATTTTACATTTTTAACCCCTTGACCATTTTAATGCTATTTGCTATTTTATCTATCCTAGCTGGAACAAAATGATAAGTCAAAAATAAGAGAAAATGGAAGAACTAAAGCAGACATAATTTCAAATCAAAAACTTACTATATTACATAAACAAACTTATTTGACTATGAGTGTATGAAACTGCATTGATATATATAAAGTCATTATTCTAAACTAAACACTCTTTCTCACACTTTAATGTTCACATACTGTCTTTTATTTTATTTTTGGCTAAAAGTTTCGCATTAACTAACACTTTTGAATTCTCCTTTTCATGGTAATGTGAGAAAGACCTTAAGTCCCTCAATTTTTTAACAGACCAATTATAATTATTAATGTCTCCCTTTTTCCCTGAGACCTAAAACAATAGAGGGAAAAACTTATGCTACTTTCCCTATGATAAAAACTCAAGCACACAGATTTCGGAACAAGATTTGGGCTCCGCCAGTGCTTGAAAATGTTTTTAATAGAGGATGTGAAGCTCTGCTATCTCTTTAAAATGACTTGAATAAACTTTATTTTCTATCCAACTGTTTGCCTGCATTCCTGAACATTCGACCACGGCTGTTATCATATATATATATATATAGTTTATTCAATGGGAGGAGCTGTTAATTCAGTTACTGCTTGTTAATAGAGCTTCCAAAACCTTAAAACAATACTTTAAAAAATTCCTCTTTTTTATATCTTTTGTATNTATATATATATATATAAACAGGTTCCTGAGTAAAGTGATTTAGTTCATCTTACTTTAATAAAAACAGAAAGCAAACTCAGAAGAAAAAAAGGTGCAATCAAGCAATGTGATATAACTTGAGAGAGTATCCTAATTAAATTGAGAAGTTAATTTTTATAAGATAAAATAGGTGGACCTTCTTTAAAAAAGTGATAATGTAGCAATGTGATTAAGTTAACATTTTACTCCAATAAAATTAGAAAATAAATTTTTGAAGATAATAGTTAAGTGTGCATCTGTGAACAATTAAAATATTTCCAGCAAAAACTATGCACTACATAACTTTTGGCATCTTGAATAATTAAATCCTTTGTAAGAAAAAATCCTAATTTTCCCTATAGTTAATGCCCGCAATTTATTTTTTACACAAAAATTACTGTGAAAAAAATCAAGATTGGGCATTAACTATAAGGCAAAATTAAGAATTTTTTAATGGGCTTGTAGGCTTTTTAACAGTGGCCACTTTTAAAAGCATGAAGCAACTTTATTAAAAATAGATAATTTTAAACAATAAGAAAAAAACAGTTGATATTATTAATGTAAAGCATTTGTAAAGCATATCTTTTGATAAATTCATCAAAATATGGTAAGAACTACAAGGTTCATACATAAAATAAAGAAAAAGTTGAAGAAACAAATGGTCAATAAAATTATTCTCAGAATATAATAACCTATTCATAATAATTCAATGCTAAAAAAATAATAAAATGCAGGTGACATGCTTTTTTGACCAAAGAAGTGGCGATTGGCAGATAATTTTTTAATCGCCTTTGTAATATTAGCCGCCCAGCAACTGGTGGTGACCCGTAATTTTATCTTATAGCATAGCTCGTAGTATGTAAATAAAAATAAAAATTATAATTATAATTACTTCTAATAAAGGATCACTATAACTTGGCAGGCCTCCTATATGTACAAATAGATGTTTTTGATACTGAAAAAAATAAAATAAATATATAATTTTATAAATGCTGAAAAATCTAAATAAATAAATGAAAAATAAAAACAATAATTATAGGCAATTACATTTTCAGGATCCCTCTGCTGCTCCATGAAGGCGGACAACTCAACAAGCCTTAACTTGTGAGTGGCAATCGCTCTTCCCTCCCAGGGTGATGGCGGACTAAGGAGCTCAACACTAGAGGCGGGAACGGTTACAGGTGGTTTGTGCCCTATTCCATAAGGCTGACTAGCAAATGGTTTAATGCTGCAAAAAATCAACAATATTTTCATTTAAAACATATCAATATACATTTTATTTAGTTAAGAGCAAACTAGAAAAAGCTAAAAATGGAACATGTTTGGTAATGATAAAACATATAACAAAACAAAAACAAATTTAATTTTTGTACTAAATTAATAAAACGAAACATATGGGTATTTATTTTTGGCTAAAAATATAGCTTGCATCATATAGGGAAATTTTAATAATTTTGGGTGATTTAAATGGGATAAATAGCATTTAAAGCTTTTGTTTTTTTGTTTTTTGACAGTACATCTAAAAATATTTATGAACATAAACTATAAAATCAAGCCTGACAGTAAAGGACATTCTTGCTGGCGAGTGGACTAACAAAAAAAAAAAAAAGAAATTAGCTTTCCTAACCTAAATAAACGAGGATACTTCTATGCCCCAGAGATGATTGATTACTAATTGGAATAAAATTTTTAGCATTTAAAAATCATAAAAACAAGATTCAAGTTATTGTCATATATTTCAAATCCATTTTTTTTCGTTATGTTTTAAATACGAAAAATATTTATTTTTATTTACTTATTTTGCTGATGTGCAATATCATTTTATTAGAAGATTCTTCTGCAAGGGGTCTAACATTCAAATTGTATTCAAATCTTATTAAAATAAGTGAGTGGTCCAAAGAAACTCCAAGCAGGGTTATTTTAGACCAAAATTTAAAAATAGTAGAAAGAAAAAAAAAAGGGGATTTTTTTTTTAAAATTTAGCAGTTTATTTTCTTTAACTTTGTTAATTAGTTAAAATTAAATTTGGATGCTTCAAGTTTATATAAAAAAATTTTATTAACGAATATGTAAGGGAAAACACGGGAAAAGTGACACAAAATAGCATTGGTTGACAGTGGAGACTCAATATTATAACAATTATAACAGAATTTAGAAGTTAGAACAGAAAATTTATAAAAGCAATTGTATGCCTTTATTTCAAACTTACTCTTCTGAAGTTCCAGCTTGAGTAATACCGGGTTGCCAGAACTGAGAAAGAGAAAAAAAAATCAAATGAATAAAATAAAGGTTCAAAATTTTTGGCACAGTATGAAAATTAAATGTCTAAAGTACAGTTCCCTTTTTAATTTTCATAATTTTAAATAATGAAAGGTGCATTTTAGAGAAGTTTATCGTAACACTCTATATTCACTTACAGTTTAAAAATGCAAAGGAGTTTTGAAAAATTAACTGCAGATAAACATTTTTTAAATTTTTCTTTTCAATTCTCATTTCATTATTTAGAAGTATTAATTGTTTAAATTCTTAAGCAAGTATAAAATGGGCTTTATTAAGAGTAGTTTTTTTTAAAAAAATACTGAAAACTTTTTTTCAAACTATCAAATTGCAAGAAAATTACGAATGGAATACAAATTGGGAAAGTAATGCTGCAATAATTTGATAGCATTTTGATATTTAAAAATACATTTTTTTCAATTTAAAATTTCATGGCTTACTGTAAGTTAACATGAACTCGTTTTTTCAATAGACTTAATAGCAATGAGTAAAAGAGAAATTGCAATGAAAAGTTTTTTTATTACATTAAGTTTTCTTAACAGACAGTCTTCCACTCAAATTAAAAGGAAATTTATACTATTTATGTTTCAACACAAGTTAATATATATATTTAAAATTTATGCACACATCCATATTAGCTGAATTCAGCAAAAAAATCAAATGTCTGTTTTAAACATTTTACCATTAAGAGGTTTTAAAATAAAAGAGAGCTTAGCCTTACAGACAGATGTTTTGATTATAGTTGTTATTTACCACTAATTTTAGGTAATTTTTTGCAAAAAGTTACTTTTCAAAGATGCAGACCGAACTATAGTACGGCTTTCAGGAGAACTCCCCCAGACACCCGTCTCGCATCGTGGCGGGTACTACGGTTACGAGGAAAGGTCACTTCTAATAGGGGTGTAAGGTGAATAGTTTTGTCTTAATTTTAGCGTAGGCCGCCGTAACCAATCGACATCTTCTTTCCTCCTTTTCACTCCCATTAGAAATGTGCTCTCGCTTGTTACCATAGCAGCAGACAGCCCCAGACTTTCAGTCTGGAGGAGTTCTCCTCAAAGTCGCACTATAGCAGCATTTATGGGGAAATAAATTATCATGTTTGTTGTAATTAGAAAAGAAACAATAAATCATTTCAAACAATCTATGTAAGATTGGTGAAAAAAAGGGAAGAAATGTTAACCTTGCTTACAGGCGTTCCACTATAGTTGACGGGAGGTACGAGTGATGCGAGCCCAGCGGCCTTGTTGTGGATGGCAGTGGCGGAGACAATTTGGGCGGATGAGAGGGACGTTAGTGACTGGAGGGCCTTCTCCTTGGCAGCTTGGTCCTGTGAGTAAAATAAGGAGACGATCTGAGCAGATGACATGGAGGACATCGACTGCACAGCAGCTTCTTTTGAAGTTTGATCCTGCTGAAATGAGATAATTACAACCGTTGATGGTGTGTGCTTGCCATCCTCGGTTGTATGCTATCTCTACTTTGGGGCCAATTCAAATATTATATAAGCATGTTTTTAACTTCCCTCTCCTCAGTAAAAAATTAGCAAACTAAAAAACTACTCCTATGCTTATGCAAGAAAGTTACATTCACCCCCAGTTTTTTTTTTTTTTTTTAAACTTTAATTTTTACTATAGTAATCAAATTTTAAAAATTTCAAGATTAAACTAAAAATAAAAAATGCAACTTTGCAAAAAGCATAATTTATGTTTCAATTCATTTTATAAAATTTTGAAATTCCTCTAATTATCCAATTTTTTTTCCGTCCAAATTTGAGATTGTTCTAAGCATAATTTTTCATCACTCTTTTATTTTATTTTTTTTGTCATTTACAAAAAATTAAAATAAATAAATTGCAGGGTCTTATATAAACATTGTTTATACTCCCAGCTAGTCAGCAATAGGCATGCCCTCCTTACATAATATTTAAACAGCCCCTTTCATTATTTCTACAAAAATTTTAAGCTTGCCGCTGTCCATATTTCCACATATAAGACAAAAATATTTAGTGCTTTGGTTTATCATTTTTTTTTTCTTAAATTTCAAGGCACTTGCAAGTACGGTTTATTAAAGATACAAAAATTAATTTTATACTTCTTACTAAAAAAAAAAATTGCACCCTTGTCTTCATATAGAATTGGCTTTTATTCCAAAATATGAAGTAATTAAACCTGCCTACCTTAATTTTTTCGAACATAATAATGATGGTTAATAAAATTCAATTTAATTATAAAAAATGAATATAGCAAGTATTCAAACCATCAAAATCTTTTAATTGAAACTTTTAAAAAGAGCTACAATTTATAAAAAAAATAATAAATAAAACTTAATATTTCAAATAAGCGTAAGTCAAAATATGTGTACATTCATGTTAAAAACGTTTGATAAAAATGTTAAAAAACTAGTCTGTTATTTTATTTGAAATAATTAGTCAGTCATGTATTAAAATAAAAGCTATGCGTAAAAGCTAAGTAAAAGTGTCTGAAGTAAAAAAAAAAAAAAAAAAAAAAAAAAAAAAAAAAAAAAAAAAAAAAAAAAANAAAAAAAAAAAAAAGAAAAAGAACGAAAATTGTCCTTCCTAGTTACCAAATAAAAATGAATGTCGTATGCTTCAGGCAGAATATTGTAAAATTTTAATTAATCGTTAGTAAGTAAAAATTTCAAGCACATAAAGTTTTTACTCAGTTTACGATCAAACTTATGGAAATACATACACAAAATATTAATGTCTTAATTATTAATCTTTCCATAACATAAAAAAATTAAGGCAGAGCTCTTTAAATAATACATTGTTATAAAAATTTATTTTGCATTTTTACTATTTAAATTATTATTGTTAAGATAAAGATAATATACACTATGCATTATTATTGTTAAGATAAAGATAATATACTTAAATTTCAATAGGGAAATAAAAAACTAAGTAATGCTGAATACAAAGGATGTAAAACAAATACAATTTCTTTAAGTCAATAAAATTTATCAAAATGTTCCACTATAGCATCATTTTTAATATATTTTGAGTGCCTCAATGCAAAAATTTTTTGTTCAACAGGAAAAAAAAAAAAGAAGAAAACTATGTCACTAAAGGATTTAACAACTGTATATCTTGGTTTACAAGTCAACGTCGACCCGTTGAATAAAACGCCCTACTTTTGATTACAAGATAACAAACTTCTAGTACGTCAAGTGTATAAATTGACCACTGAAAAAAACTCTCACAAAAAACAGAAAATATCTGCTGTGCTCCTAGCGACATCATGTGTCAAATGATACTAGACACGTGGCAAAATGTGGATTCACATGATAAGGTAAATTTAAAAAAAAAAAATGTGGAATGAGGGTGAAGACTAATTTTTCTTGACCCAGCAGACAAGGATGAAGTAGAATCCGTTGCAGAGTGGGATTCGAATAACGGCACCGCTAGCATTATTCAATCTGAAACGGATGATTCAATTGTTCTGGAATTTTTAAATTTGTTGATTTATGGTACGTTTTAAAAGTTTTCATTGCGTTATAATTATTTAACAGGGTGCGTAGCCAAATTTTTGAATCAAAAATAAGCACTTTTTAAAAACTTTTCAAGCACTTTACAAAAATTTTCAAGCACTCAAAAAATTCATATTCAATCAATGATATTATTGAAAAACAAAAACTTTTTATAAACAGTTTTAGCGTTAAAAAACAAACAAAAAAGAAACGGGCGTAAATCAAAACAATCAGTACCTTCCCTCATCACCGAGTGAATTCAACTTGACCCTGAACTCAGAATAAAAGTACCCTTACCCCCTACGTCAAAAAAAGTGTTAGAAGTAAAATAAAATAAACAAGAACAAAAATAAATTAAATTAAAAAGAAAAACATTTCATAAGGATCTGATATTCTCTATCCGAATTGGAGCACTCGGGTTTCGGTTTCAAGTGTGCGCATGCGCAAGTCATAACATGGGTACGACATGAAGTCCGCGTTAATGATTACGTAGCAAACTCCCCATTTTTCGTGAAATGCATGGGATCCACCAGATATCACTGAAGGAAAGAAAAAAAGTTATGCAGAAAAAAAGCACTTTTTAAAAACGCCAGTTGAAAAAAGCACCTTTAAAAGCTTTTAAAAACGAAATCCCCAAAAAAGCACCTTTAAGTACTTTTTACAAACGCTACGCACCCTGTTTAAATGTTCTAGAATGAATTATCTTTACCTTTCTTGATCTTATTTTTTTTTATTAATTAAGTATTAATTCATTAAAAAATACCTTTATATGTGAAAAAAATATGAACAAATAAACGTATTAAAAATAGTTTTTAAAAGGGGCAAATTGATACAGAATTATTCATTTTTTTATAATGCATTGATATTTCACAGTGAAAGAATGACCAACTTCAATGCATGCATATAAGTCACCAACACCGTGATTTTTGTAACATTTTGGGGATTTAAAAGGTTGACTTATACACCAGGATACACAGTACTTAAAAAAAAAGGGGGGGGGGGATTTTCAGGTAACAACCTAAAATCAAGCTAATTTTTTCATATGCCCACTTTCATAGCAGGGCCGAATCAGCAAACGAATTAAAGTTTAATATTATCAGTTTTAGGCTATTTTCTAAATAAAATAAAAAAACTTTTGAAATAGAAAGCTTTTATATGGAAAAATTGTTTCATAATTCACCTTAGATTTAATTGTAAAACTTCTAAAATAGAAAAATTGTTTTATACCTCACCTTACAGATTTATTTGTAAAATATTTATATGGAAAAATTGTTTTATACCTCACCTTACAGACTTATTTGTAAAACTTTTATACGGAAAAATTGTTTTATACCTCACCTTACAGATTTATTTGTTTAACTTCTAAAATAGAAAAATTGTTTTATACCTCACCTTACAGATTTATTTAGTACTATACGTTAAAGTTGACTAGTTTGTAAATAAATAAATAATAAAAATTTGTTTTTATTTTGGCTGTTTTAAGGAATGAGTATTTGTGGTATGTAAATGAAAATTAACATATTTTAACTAATTGGCTGAACAATTTCAATCATATTAGAAATGCCTAACCCAGGCTAAAAAAATATTCTGATTTGAAAATATTCAATAAAAAAATTCAATGATAATAAAGCTCTAAAAACTTGTTTATCCAATTCTTAGTTACTGGAAATAAAATTTGTACAAAATGTTAAGTAGATTTATGTTAAGTAAGTTAGAATATGAAATAATAAAATCAAAGCATTGATTAAAGTAAGTAAATCGAAGGCTAGAAAAGAAAATATCTTACAATGTAAAAATATGGGGAGCGAAAATAGAAACATAAACTTATTATAAAATATTAAAGTTATCAGCATTTCAATTTCAGAGATTCTTATTACAACGGGAAAAAAAGAAAACATTACTTTTCACAATAAGAAAAAATTACTACAAAGAGAGAGAAAGAGAACTTTGCAAAGACATTTAAATTGAATGAAGATTTTTTTTTAAAAATAATATAAAACTTAATAAACTTCATCATTAAATCTTTATGAAACTTAACATTTGGATATGTTTGGATAGTCAAGTTTTTATCGCTTTTGTTTTCCTTAAAGCTAAAGAGAGTAATTGAAAATGCTCTTACATGCACCTTTAGTTTGGTTTGTATTTCTCGAGCTTTCCGCCTGGCTAGTACTTGAATGTGAGAAGAGACTTGCTTTCTAGTACGCGTCTTTCCAGTTCGTAATTTTATATAGCGGGCTATCAACTCATTACGACCTAAAACACAAGAACTATCTTTTAGCATTATAATACAAAATAGCAACTCAATAGCAAAGGAAACACATTCAAATTAGATTAAAGAGCATCATTGAAAACAACAACACAATTTGCAACTATACACTGTTCAACAAATACTAATAGCAAAAGGAAACAAACCCATTGACACTTGGCAAAACCTTTGGCTGATTGACGCCAAGGATATGACAAACAGAGCTATTATGACTAATGATTAATAAGAAAAGAATATCTGTGAAACAGATATTCTTTTCTTATTAATTAACTTCTTAATTAATAAGAATTATTAATTTCTTAAGAAACTGGTAGAAATAGGAAAAGTTAATGATAAACAGCACACCTTTATGTTTGCTTCCACTATCAGTTCTCACTGAACTGAGTATAGACATTGAAATGTTTCATGCATTGTACTGTTATTTAGTGAAAATTTTGTGACATAAATAACCGGAAATAATACTAAGGAACAGTTTGATGAAAATGTTGTACTAAGGAAAACTGTGGCTAATCACTGCATTGAACCAGCCCTTAAATTCAATTAAAGAAGATGGCAACCAAAAATAACTCAAATTCTAAGTTAATACTTAAAAATCAAATAAAAATGTAAAATCCACAGCTCTTTATAAATATTCTAATTTTTTTTAACAAGTTCCTTAACTTTCTTTGCACTAAAACTTTTTTTAGAATACAAAAGCAACAGGGTTTTAAAAAGAACGTGCTTTTCTGGAAAAGGCCAAACTGGCTGGTTTTTATTAAAATTAACATACATGTATTTAAATTAATTTCATAAATGACTATTTAGTAAAACAAAATATGTTATGATTTTAATTTCTTTTAAGGGCATTCACTCCGTAAATAGATAAAAATTTTATTAATTTTAATAATGCAATTGCTTTCATACCTGCTTAAAAATCAGAATTCAGATTTTAGAAAAATCAGATCATTTTTGTCTGAAATTTTTCTATCATGATATAGTATTATGTTGCAATAATTCCTTTTTTATAATTGTATGTACTAATTCCTAATAAATTAAGTATTTTCTATATAAGTACATATGATTAGTTCAAAATAATTAGTATATATTGTTTAAAAAGTTGACTATTAATAATTATAGTTAATTTTGTATTATTAATATACTAGTATAGCAGGGTTTGTGATTTTTTTTTTTGTTGATTCTTTTAAAAGAAAAATTTAAAAAATCAGATTTTTTTTTATTTAAGTCGGATTTTTTTTAAAATTCAAGTACACAGTAAGAACTTTGACTTAGGACTAAAAAACTTTATAAATGTTTAATCAAAATTAAATTAATATTAAAACTATATTATAAGAATATTTCAGAAGCTCTAACTACCTAAAACAGTTTTTCATTATAATACATAGCTTTGAATGCATAGCAACCATTTTGAAACAAATGCATGATTGAAATTTAAAGACTAGATGAAATAGAGAATTTAAAGAACTCTTTAACTATTAAAGCAAAGGTAAATTAAAATTACCAAACCATAATTTTAATTTAAAATTGTGATTTCTTTTTTTTCTCTCTTGATTTTTAAAATGACAAAATAAATGTTACAGATAGTGTTTATAAATGTAGTCATTCATCAAAAAAAAAAAAATATTTAATCTATATATTTTTAAATTAAAATACTCTTTTTTAATTCGATATCAAAATAGATAAGTTAATCTAAAAATAATTTTTACAAAAATTTATGTACTCATTGAAAAAATTTTTCCACAAAATTTCTTTATAGAAAATCTGATAATGTCAAAGAAACTGCAAACATATTATGAGAAAAAAATACTTAAATGTTTACTTTAATCTGTACTTTCAATCTCAAGATTTTTAAAAATGTAATTTCAAATGTGTTGGAATTTAACACACACCAAGAAAGAAAGTAATTTCATTAGCTAAAATTAATTAATGCAGCAATAATAAATTTCAAAAGTAATATAGCAATTTATTTAAAATAAATTTTAAAACTAAGAAAAGAAATAATAAAAGTATCAATAATTTAAAACACTGTTTTTTAACTTTTTAAATCAATATATATATTTAAAATATCAGTTGATTTAAATCAACAAACCCTGTTATATTGTGTTAAATAAGTTGATTTTTAATTTTAGCTCGAGGTATTTTAAAATATTTTTTTTTAAATAAAGCTTTCTAAAGTGCAAATTTGCTACTCTAATTTTTTTTAAACATAAAATAACATCAATGCAACAATTAAGAATTTCATAACCCTTTTATATTATTACAGTTTTTGATAAATATTAGTTCTCTAATAAAAGCCAGCTTTTTTATCTTAGCCTGTATTCTTTAAGGCATTAAATTAACAAAAAAAAAGGGGGGGGGAGTTCTTCAGCTTTGGATGAAAAGCAGCTACCCTGAACTGAACAACAGTTTAAAGAGCCTGATGAAATTCTGTAGCTCTTTACAAAAACTTTACATACTCTGAAAGGTTGGTTCTTCAAACTACAACTTTTTTTTTTACAACAGCTTAAGCAGAATACTGGCTAAAAAAGAAACTTTTTAAATGTCCCCTAAGTAGTAATCTATAAAAAGAAATTTAATTTTCAACAACATAAACTGACATGTGTGTAAATTATAAGACCCCAACGATAGCACAAGCAATAAGTTACCAATTATTCTTTCCATTCTTAATACTTTAGAAATAACTTAATACATGCCTATAAATGTAGGAATGTTCTTGTTTGCCGTTATAAATTAAGGCTCAAAAAATATATATTATCGCCCGATAATTAAGTTTTCGATCTTGCATTTAAATATCTAATCAGAAATACAGTCGAAGCTTGCTTAAATTTCGAAGAAAATTGCCAGGGAATGGCAAAGAGGGGGGGAGGGGAGAAAGAACGGCGATTATACGTGATAAGACCTAAATGCTACTTCATTCAATTATATAACAGGGTGCCTAGCCAAATTTTTCAATAAAAAATAAGCACATTTTAAGTACTTTTGAAGCACTCAAAAAATATTTTTAATCACTCCCCCCCCCAAAAAAAAAATCATAACTAGGATCTGTGCAGTAAGAAATATTATTTTTTTTCTATCTTTCTTAATTTATAAACATAAAATCAATAAAATTCAAAAACATTTTCAAAAACTTAACATAGTCATGATAAAATAACTAGTTTTTGATAAATATTGCAGAGAAAATTATGAAAATCGTGAATTTTTTTTAAAATTTAGAACGATAATCGATACGGCAAAGAAAAAAATCTCGTATTAAAAGATAAAAAATTAAGCACTTTTTACAAACACCAAATAAAAAAAAAAGCACCTTTAAGGGCTTTTAAAAAATGTAAATCAAAAATAAGCACCTTTAAGCACTTTTTAAAAACGCTACGCACCCTATATAAATAAAAAAGATTCATATAAATTAAGAACAAAGTTAACTTATCCTTTTTAAAGATCTATTGACACGAAAAATTAAAAAGCCACAGTTTGAGTTGTTTTACACCGCGTATAAAGTTTTCAATTTTATACCATATAAAGTTAAAACAAGAAGTAGAATGCTTATGCCTAATCATGTGAGTTAAATCAGATTTAATTGGATACCTATAAGTGAAGATATGCGTGTGTGTCGTACCTTATTGGCTTCTGAAACGACACATGCTACGATTTACCTACCATGACGTCACTTGCAGGTATTCAATTGACTGAGCATGAAAATGAACAAAAGGATTAAATATTTAAAAGAAATAGTTCGTACAATGTCACTACTTTGCTGTTATCTTCCCAACTAAAAAAATTAAAATCAATAAAATGGAAAAATTTTCGATTTCTTTCTGTTTTCATTTTCAGCCATTTTTCAAAATCAACATAAAAATAGCACATTATCCTTTAAAAACTATCTTAAAACTACAGACTTTTAAAGTCTTTCAGATTAAAAACAGTTTTCAATTCTGGCATATTTTTACGAGTACCAAAGTAAAAGCAAGAAAGAACTAGATGCCAACTATTTTATTATAATAAGTGCGTTAACTGGAAAAGAACAAATCTCAACCTAATAATTACGAATATTGCTAACTCGTATTATTCGATAAAAGTCATGCGACAGAAGAAAAGAGTTAGTCGATAATTTTCAAAATCAATTATGTCATCTTCATAATCAGCATAGAGGGCGCTAGCTAGAGATGATCAAAACTTAACCTAATGATTATGAATATTACAAACTGATTAAGTCATTAGATATAGCATATTATTTGCTAAAAAGCGTTATTTCGAACGGCAAACGAAAAGAGTTATATAAAAAAGCACCTTAATACATTTTTTTCCCCTTTGTTCCTCATTTATAGAAAAAAAAAAAAAGAACTCATAACTCGTTGTCGCTAATTTTCAAAATCAAATGATACGCCATTTTCATAACAAGTTAGAGGGCGTTAGATTGAGATGAGCTAAACGTAACCTTCTATTTAAGAATATTACAAACTCGAAACAGTTATAAAAATTGCATATCATGCGCTAAGCGTTATACCATACGACAAAAGAAAAAGAGCACTAAAAAAAAAAACATCCTAATTCATATTTGTTTTCACTTTGTTCCTCAATAATAAGACTCATAATAATAATAATAATAAAAAATCTGGAATTCATAAGAAGAGAAATATTTTTCTGATGAAGCAAGGTTTCGTAAGGCCAAACGATAATACAAAATGGAACTCAAAACTTAACCTTCTACTTAGGAATAACTAACTCGTAACAGTAATAAAAATAGTAAATCATGTGCTTAGAAGCAATATATCATACGACAAAAGAAAAGAGCACTAAGAAAAAACAGCCTAATACATATTTGTTTTCACTTTGTTCCTCAATAATAAGACTCATGGTAATAATAATAATAAAAAAAATATGGAATTCTTAAGAAGAGAAATATTTTTCTGATGAAGCAAGGTTTCATAAGGGCAAACGATAATACAAAATAGAACTCAAAACTCGTTTTGAAAACTATAATACAGTTGACAAT